ACGTCAGTGTGTCTGAACGAGTGATTGATGTGAGGAATGAGGTGGAAGTCTGACTCGTCCAAACAAAAATATTCATGACTTCAAAAATATTGGAATAAGGTTGCAGAAAGAGACTACCAACCCCTCCAAGTGCCACCGCCTTGCAGGCCTCAACAAAACAACATCGATGACTCCAGTGCTTCCGAATGACTGGTGAGGGTACTAATTTAAGAATATTTCCGAACAACGAATCCACTAAACTCATCAATGACCAGAGTCGTTGTGAAGTAGCGGAAAGATGAACAACTGTAACACCAATAAAAAAACATTGTGACGCCGATGTAAAACGTAGTGCAAGGGTATGCTTATTAATGAGTCTCTTGGAATATTGGTGAAATCCATCCGTTTCAGCAGAAAATAGTGGGAGCACTAGCGAGGGCTTCTTTTTATCAGCTGACTCATCTCATTTTCAATTCACTGTGACACTGACGGCGGAAGGGAACAGAAAAGGTGTGGGCGCATTATATGCCACAACTTCGAATTTCGCTCACAGTGACGATTATTCATAGTACGCTTGAATACTTTAGAACACTTTGGTATATAAGGGACTCGGAAAAAATACGTGATACCATAATGAGGGAGTAAAAATATTTGAGACTGAATCCAGTAAGAAAGGCGATAGCCTGGCTATGAAAGCGATTTGAGGATTTTGTTGCTTATAAGAAATTAAATAGGATCGTAGCAGTAGACGATTCAAGCATGGCTGCTTGCCTTCGTCGAATGGCATTAGCCTGGTTCTTGTAAAAAGACAGAGAAAGTTATATTGAGGAGTATGGACTTATGAGGATTGCCAGCCGAGGTTAAAAGATGGTGTTAAGAGCACTTCTTTGATTTCTTGTAAGAAGTTTCGTTGGAAGGAATATCGACAATGTGCTTTTGCTATATGAGTGCAGTGCGGTTCTTTAGGGCCAGCGGCTGTGAAAGCAGTCTCTACGTCTAGCGTTTACCAAAAGAGCAAATGTAGGGTTGTTGGCACTTCAAACAATTCACCACTGATTGCTCAGTATTTTGAGATGATCCCTGGTTATATAGAGGAAAATATTAGAAGGAATATTGAAAGGAAACATTAAAAATAAACATAGTTTTCGTACATTCATTATGTTCCTGATTTTAAGGACATATCAAGGAAATGCGAAACGGTTTCACCAGAGTGATCATAACGAGATCAACGCAAGATACGTTGTTTGGGACAGCAAGAAGTGCCGTCAGGTGGACTTGGGCTTAAGTGAATTTCTCCTGATATCTGCTGAATCAGTCCTCGGGGATTTTTTTCAATAGGCGCCCTTGGTTGTTTTTGCATCTCATAGCGCTTCTTTTGTCTTCAGAGGTGAGCGTTGCAGAAGTGTGAATGATTTTCTCTTCCTTTGTATTCTAAAAAGAGACAGCAAAAACTGAGTCATTTGCTGAGAACAACATCCTGTATCGAATGAGCCTACTAGGAAAATTTACAATATAGCTAATTTTGAGTTTTTTTTACTTCAACCAGCCTCACATGACCGTGACCGGCACAAGGTGACGAGCACAATCGATGGAGAAGCCGGAACATACCAGTGACGTTCGTGTCTGTTCTTCATAATGGTGTTGAAGCAGGTATGGAGCCTAGAGGTCTTAGACACTAAAATAGATCTTAGAAAATGACCGCATTGGGTGATGCTGCTACCGACTACAGTACCAATTGTAAATTAATTGTTTGATGAAGTCTGGCACTCAACACTGTATTTATGTTTCTATTCCTCCGTTTTCACTGATAATTATGTTTGGGATTGCATAACTTCAAAGGCCGAAGGCAAGGCTGCAAAATATCGATCGGAAATCTTACGATAAAATATTTCTATTATATTACATTTACGAACTGAAAAGGTGCCTAACCAAGTTAATTAATCGAGAATGGCTTAATGCAATAAACACAGAAAACGAGGGAATATTCAATTACAAGAAATTCGTCGATTTGCATTGGCATCATGTCTGAAGATTGTTCCCACATCAGGAACATCCCATTTTACCTCATCAGGCAGACCACTTCGCGCAAAGGAAATTCATCTCATACAATTAGAGTCATATGAAAAGAATCATATCATATAGCGGCATGAATGATCACAGAGTACCACCTAATCACACAAACAAAGTATGTATAAAAGTGGTATGAGGCACTATTAGTATCGCCTGCACAGGCGTGGCATTTTCAAAGTAGGATTGGCGTTACGGCGGATGATGAACGGCTATTGCGGTGACCTTACGCGGTATAGAGATGGACATACTGATATCGCATACTTCTGTCACTATTTCTAGCGAAAACTCCCCAGTTTTCCTGAAGGTAAATTCTTAGTTTCCAATTGCCCACTGAATACTAGTATAACCACTGAACCAGTATAAATTGTGTCCTGGCCAAGACTTTTTTCTGTCTCAACAAAAGAACGGAATTAAGACTTGTGCCCCCGACTGGTGCTCTTCTTATGGAGGATACTCTGAAAGATGGTCACAAGGTGAATCAATAGATTTGCTTAGGAATTGTAGGTGGGTTGAGCAATCATTGTGGGCTGTTCAACTTGAATGCAGAAGTGTGCTTTGTGCCCTTTAACAGCGATGACTAAAGAAACGCAAATAGAAACCGAACGATATGGGTGAAAATGGGACGATTGGAGCGACACCAACGAGCTGCTCACATAAGTTAACCAAGCTCACAATTTGATTGAACTCGTTTATAAAATCGGTCTTTTGTTCGCCTGGTCACCCATTCCGTAACTACTGAAAACTCCTTTACTTTTTGATAGAATGGTTCCCATCCTGAAACCTAAGTAATAAAGTGGCGCAGATTTTTATATGTTTTGGTGATTAAAGTTATCCTCATGACAGAGGTTGTTGCTGGCACAACAGCTTTTTCAACCCCACAATGACATAATGCAATGCACATTGCAATATAACTTTGTTAGATACAAGTTTCAGCGGAAGCACGCACTGATCAGATCAGCACCTCAACAAAGGTTGCTCTGTGCAACACAGTGTACGAGGGGATACTCAGGAGAATCTGGTTGTTACACTTGAGGTCACAAATGGGTGACGTTTAAAGTGACCCTCCAGTTACTTAGAAGTAAAACCGTGGTAGAACTATCACATGTTTGCTCAACAGAGTTTTGTCATCAACAACATTGAATGTCCTCATTCGCTGAAAATGGCTTCTGTTGATAAAAGTGTCTCCAAAGAAGTTTCACCCGTGTGATTGTTACTTGTCCCGTGCTTTCGAAAGTGTTACCAGACGCTACTATTTTCGAGAGAGGCGCTGAACGACTTACAATAAGATGGGACGGTACCGCTATCGGCTTTATGCATGTTCTGTTATGGTTCAGTACACTTGCTAATCCGCGATAGACCTGCGATACTTTGCGAGCAGCCTGGTTGGTTCTGGTAGGGAATTCATTCGTGGCTCTACATTTTGGCAGCCACCTACGTGATGGCGTATTGGGCGAGCGAAATGGCGTATAGATGAATTTTGCAAAAATTGACAGTTCCTCTAAAACTGATGTCGCAAGAGTACAAAACACCTTTTATAATTCAGATTTCCCTAAAACAATGGAACAAAAAAAAAACAACAGAAAATGGTCAACAACTCTGAAAACTCGAATTGTTCGTCAGCGTGCATACTTTTCGCAGTCTTCACTGTCTTGCCACCACCTGTCGACACTGGAGTAGATTTTCTGTGGCGGCGACTGAACAAATGCGCACAAACGGCAGTAGTAGTCGGAATCAGCAACTCGACCATATTTCTTAATAATGACAGTAAATTAATATGCACTGAAGTATTTTACATGCGGTTCACTTTTACATAATGAAAGATACGTAAACATAGATGACACTCGATAACGATAAAACACTGATTGTTACTATGAAGATGTATGTATTAGGAGAGTAGATAGAAGTGCGAAACTTTCTTGCGAACATCATAACACACCTGTCGCACTCTCACGGTACCCGCTGTCAATTTAAAAAAAAGCATGTGCCACCTAAAGCGAACAAGGGAATAAGATCACCCTCATTTCTGCTTTGACATATTTAAAAATTTTGTAAACCCATTTACAGATACCAGCACTACAACTTCTATACATCAGACATCAGATCATCAGAACAGGCTGCCGGGCTACATTTTCTTCAAAGCCTTCCCTGTTTCTCCAACGATTATATACTAAACTGCATCCTCTTGACAGGGCTCATAGAAGAGTTAACACAACGTGCCCAGATCCAACTTGCAATCTGAGTCATCTACATATTGGGCCCCTAGAGTGCCTCTGATGCCGTCCCTGGAACTAATACCCTCACATAATTCATTAATGCTGAGCTTTGCCCATCTACTACCGCAGACGGCGTAGTATTACTTTGGGAGATATTTAAGGGCTGGTTAAGATATGATGTGAGTGTTCAATAACGGGCCTGCCCCTAAGACCTGCCGCCAGCCTTCGAATATCCGCGTTTAGCTCGGCCCACACAAACGAGCAGTTCTCAGAGGCATCCTGCATGGCGTGACTATTACATTCACAATCATTTCTGCTTCATATCGGCATGAAAACGAAATTACAGTCTCACAAATGCTTTGGTAGAAGCCATCCAATGTGAGAGACTAAGGTCCGACTCCTTCATGTGGAAACAGTATCGAATAAGTGTCTCCGATGGAATAAAATAATGAATTGGCCGCAACCAAGTTCATTGAAAGATTTGGACCCTGATCCACTCCCACAATAGCAAAGTCATTTCCTTCCTATGCCACTCTCTGAATGCAAGGCTTGCTGGGAGTAATTTTACTAGGTCTCTGAATTGCCTTCACTGAGAGTTGATACGTGAAGTTTCACCGACCTTCCAGACGAAATATTCGTTGTAAGCAGTTTGGTTCCTATCCAGATACTGAAGATACCTGAATATCTAGTCATTTCGTCTGGCGGATAGTAAAGTGACTTCTAACACCGTGCAATTGCCTACCGAGACAGTTGCTCCGGAGTGTAATCGTCCACATGAATGAACGAATTAGGTGGTGCGACACTTAGGTAGTCGTTTTTTGGCGCACCCATGACAATCGGAATGGCATCATTTCTGAAAATGCATATCTCTGAACAAATTATCCCCTTGACGAAAATGTGCACTTGGCAGGAACCATGCCCCTTTTCTACGTGCACATAGAAAGGGACTGGTACCCTTCGGTGAGTGCCACTGTCCTAGGAAAAAATCCTTTCGCTGGCTTATTAAAGGGACAGTTCACGATAATTTTGGGTAATCCAGTTTATGATGAAAAATGGAAGACAAGATCGAAAGTAGTGCGACTGAGGTGAAGAAACTGCGTGGATAGGTGTTCCTAAAGTGAAAAAAGGCTTCCAAAAACCCGTAAAAATTGGGCTGGACGAGAATGAAACAAGAAAAATGAAAAAGAATGGGGCGTCCAGACGAGCTAAACAGTGTGTTTCACTGCGCGCGTGTGGGTCCTGGTGCAAATAACGGACAATTCATGGTAAGCAAAAACTCATCCACTTATAAACATAAATAAAGAAAAAAACCCTAGTAGCAGCAAACGTAGCTCACCTTTTTCAGCCTCTAGGAGTAGGAATTTGAATAAGGGATCGCGGCAGCAAAAAGAAAAACGGAGGAAAAAAGAAAGGGAGAAAAACATCGCCTCATCACTCGGCGATTAGCTGATTAAGCGTGGGTCCTAGAACGAATAATAGCAATCTGTATTGTCTCGACACTCGTCTAACGTGATACCGATCGAGGGGCGGGAAAGCGAACTACGGCAGCAACGGTGCTTCCACTATGCCCTGAGCGCCGAGATTGTGGGTGCGAGAGGGTCCCTTCTACCACCCATGGGGG